TCTGACTTCCATGAGCAAATGGTCCTTGAATGCTTATTACTTAGAGTCTGAAGTGAGGCAGTCCTTCATGTCTTCAGCATGGCGAGTGCTGGCTGGCTGATTAGCTAATCCCAGACTAGCAGACCTCTTCAGTCACCTTGCAAAACAAGGTGACAGCATTAAATCCACTCTCTTCCTTGTAACTGCTTGTTTGTGCCAAGCCTTTTCACTTTCAAGATATTAAATGCCTGAAACATGTTCATCTTATTTATAAGCTAGCCTTGAACTGTACAGTACAGACTTGTCTGGAACTCAACAGTAATCTGCCTCAGCCTCCTGAGTACTGGGACTACAGGTGTGCGCCACCAGAACCAGCTCAATCTTGTCTTTCTGCCCTTAGGGATGATTAGAGGTGGGGCTTCTTCCCATTCAGGTGATCTGCCAAAGCACAGGTAACACATCACTTCTCTAAGTGGAGGGAATGCACCCTGATGAGGCATCCCACTGATCAACCATTCGAGATCAACCATGGGTGAAAATGGCAGCTTCACCCAGAGCAATCATGTTGGAGAGTTGTGATCAGCAAAAGTCAATTCCATCCACAAAGAACAGGAACACAGGTGCTTAATAACTTCAGTATCTTCCAGCTTGAATGGTGCTATCAATGGCCTTATAAAGACAGAGCGCATCACTGAAGGAGCCACGCAGTCAGTGCTGCGATGCTCCAACTTCTTCTGGGGTGATTTCCACCGGTGGTGCCACTGCTTGAACCTTGCACACAGCCAGAGCCTGCGATCTCCGGGCAGCGGTCTGCTCACAGGTGTCTTCCGCTCCGGAAATGATATCTGCCCGCCTGACCCACACTGGCACTTCTTAGCATTTCCCTCCTCTGCCTGCTGACTCAGATTACTGCACTCTGCTCACAATTTCTGGACCTTTCAGAGATTCGATTTCTTTTTGCAGAAAGCCGTAAGATTCTTCCCCAGGAGTCCTCCTCAAGGAATCCTCTCTTGTACTTGATGCAACAGCTCTTTTTGTGCTAATCTTATTTAGTGGTTGAAATACTATTCCCTTTAAATCTACCATTAAATCAAATATTAACTGAAGACTTATAAGATAGGAGTGGCAACAAATATAATACTGACAGTTAAGAATGATGGTCCACACAAAAGTGACAAAAAACTGCAGGCACAAAATTCAGAAAACGTTTCTTTGCTCCATGTGAATATATTAAGTATGTCTGTTACAGCACTAAGATTCACATCGGATACAACCATGTCCATTTGTTTTCAAGCATGTGTGACATTTGTGCATTGTTCCTATACTGCCACTTGTCATTTGGGTGTAAGTCTCAAGTATATCTCTTTACATAGGCATTTACCCTTCTTCCAAAGGCACCTGCGTGGATATTTACAAATATTTAATTATAATTTATGTTACCATGTAAGTATTAGTGTCAACATTACTTACTTATACTGAATCATATCATTTTATAATTGTTAGTATTATAATATTAACATCACTGTAATATTATTAATATTATCTAATAATTCAATGTCAGTCACACATTGCAATGACCATACGAAATGTGTCTTGTCTGACTGACGAGGTGGGACTTGTATTATGAGCACCCTGAAAAATTGTGCTAGGGATTATTTCCTGGTTTTGGGCCAATACAGTAGCACAGTTATGCCTGTACTGCAAACATACAAATGTGTTAAAAGCTTGTTTTCAAATAAAGACTGCTACCCTCAAGGCAACTCTTCTCAACAACTGTTTTTCCCTGGTCCCATATTCTTCTACTACCTAAACAACTATTTCTTATAACCTCAAATCTCTGCCATCTCTGCCCTCGTACTTATTCTTAGTTAACCACCCCAACTCCTGTTTCATTATGAAAACAAAGTCATCAGAACAAAAGAAAAGTTCTAACCGTCCCATCTGTCCTGCTACCTGTACGACACTTACAGACTGCCTTCTCTGCCATCACTACTCTTTTTTTTTTTTTTTTTTTTTTTTTTATTTAAGAGGAAAAAGAGAAAAACACAAAACAAACCAAAGCGGCGTAAGGGTACACGCAATACAGAACTACAAAACAAAACAAAACAAAACAAAACAAAAAACCATAACAGTAAGAAATTACCTGCTAGTAGATTACACACTATTTTCTCGAAAACAGTTCCTCAAATCACAGTATCAAAGAACACAAGGTGGACATTCAAACAGGGAGACTGCAAACAGCTGTGTTCAATGTTCCAAAAACATTGATAAAGTCAGCTATTTAACACCCCCAAACACACTTGCTGTTATATCCGTTAGAGCTCTTTTTCTTTTTTTTTTTTTTTTTCCCTCTCTTTTTTACAACAAAATTTACACATCTTGGATTTTATTACTCCTTAGTGCTTATTACTTTCTTTGGCGGGGGGGAAGAATACAGTCAAATATGGCAAAACAAAGCTGTCAGTCAATACCAAGGATAGACGTAGCACATGGTGTAGAACAGAGTACAAGTTTATCAACAATGGTTATCAACGTTGTCCCTTGTTTCCTTAAAAAGAATTGTCTATCTTATTAGATATTATAAAGTTGGACAAAACAGTAGAGAACAAGACCAATAAAACTTAGGCATTGTAAACATTACAGGACTTCCAAAGAAGACAATAGTCAAACCAGAATGGGTATCTTAGTGAATCTTATTGTCTTCAAAGTAGTTGCCTATGTCTTCAAACTTGATACTATCATATAGAATGGAACAGAGTCTAATCAGTCAAAACAAGATCGTGGGAGTACTACAGGACTTCAAAACAAGTTAATAGGAAATCGAAAAGAGTTACTATTTATATATCCTAATTTTTTTGAATTTTTTCTTTAATTAAGACAAACATAAGAAATGACTAAATAATTTTTTTTGAAACAATAAGGGGGAGATTGAGATAAAACAGGACATAACAATGTAACAAGAGGTCACAGCATGACTGTTTCAATAACCTAGTACTTCACCACCTTATAACCTGACTTAATAGTAGTTACCATAGTGTCTTTTTCCTTGAAATATTTGGGTAAAACTTCATATACTCTAGCTTCAAATATTTTCATATCAAGAAGCCCAGAATAAAGCCTTTCTAATTAATGAGTGAAAACTTTATAAGGCTTCAAGGCCACCTAATGGGGAATCATGATTACCACATATTTTTATATATTTGAATCATTACTTACATTAGGGAAACTATTCGGTATTCACACATGCGAGATTGATTTATTTCACTTATGAGTATGGTCTCAAGCTGCGCCCATTTATTGATAAATATCTCAATGCCATCACTACTCTTTGTTCTTTGTTCACTGCCAAAGGCATAATTCTCTCCTTGCATCGTAAGTGTCCAAGTTCCTTTTCTGTTACCAATCTGAATGACACCAGTCAGGCCACCACAGCTCAACCAAAAACCTCTCTCCTTGAGGTTGCCAAATACCCTCTGCATTATGCCAAATGCAACCAGAGAAGAACTGAGGCCCAACTGGCCTCCTCTGTGAGCACAGAGAAGAGGTGGGGCAGCAGGTGGGGTGATGGCACGCTGCGGGCTCTAGGCAAAAGGCCATGCGGCTGGGATCGCTTACCTGAGTGTGCATTAATGGAGAGCGGAAGGTAGGCGAACCTTGGGTTACTTTAATTGCTTGTACCCGAGTGTGAGTGAATAAAAAAAGGGTGTGCCAGACGCTCAGGGCTCTGTTGCCTACTAAAAGCGAGATCCTCCTGGCTGCTGCATGCTAAACTACTTTGTCTGCGTGTCTTTCATTCTTGTTCACCCCGGGGTCAGAGAATAAATTAGCAGGACTGGGTCCCTACAGGCAGCATCTGGGTGCACAAAGACCAGTAGTGGGCTGGTTTCCTTGGGTGGCACCTGGGGCAAGGTCAGTTTTCAAACCTCATTTTACTTGGTATGCCAGAATCATGTAATCAAATTCATTCTTTGCCTTTTCTCTAGTTGGCTTCCAGGGCTTACCACGCTTGGGTTTTTCTTCTCAGGTTGTGCCTGCTCAGGAGCCTTTACTAGTGTCACTTCCCTGACCTCTCAACAGTGGGGTGCTCTCCTTCCTATCTTCAGATGAATGCCAAATCCCCAACTCCAGGGTGAACTGCAGAATTCAACAGCTGACTGCGTCCTTGACATCTCCATTTGAAGGTGTAACAATGACGTTACCCAGCTACCTAAACAGAACTTCAGCTTCCCTCTTCCTATGGGCTTCCTATGTGGGTTACTCCACTCTTCCAGCTTCTCAAGCTAAACCTCGAAACTCACCTTTGGTGATTCCCCCTGTACATCCCTTATCTGTCTTTGAGCATATTCTGCTGGTTTCATCTTAAATATTTCCAGAATTTGCTGACTTCTCCTATCCTCTGCTGCTACTCACATCCAAATCACCATCACTGCCTCCTCAATTAGTCCAATATATTTTAAAATTAGCCTCTTGCTTTTGCACTGATCTTCTTATAACTCACTCTCAACACAGGAACAAAATGATCAAATTAAAAGTCAGACTGTACTTCACTTTCTTACTCAAATGTCACTCTTTTAATGAGGCCAACCTCTCACCCATCAGAAAAATTGCACAGCACGTCACCATTCTGCCTGTTTTCCTTGCGCCTCAGTACCTACTGCAAGCACTGTCTGACACGATATGTATTGTACTTCTTTACTGCCCCTCAGACTAATATGTGAGCTGTTTGTATATTTGGGATTTTTAAATTTCTTGCTCACTGTTGACTAAAGGCAGTGTCCACACAGAGCAAGCGTTCTGCAAGGGTTTTTTTGCCTAAACCCACCACTGTATTTCACTGCTATAGAGATGATACACATAGAAGTGTTAAAAAAAATATTTTTGAAAAGAATAAACGTCAAGAACATTGTGCTTTAAATACCAGAATGAGATCAATAAGTTTACCACTATTTCTAGTAGGACAAAACAAATGAAACCATAAAAACAAAAAATAAAATTAAACTTAAGAAAGCACATATCCTTACCCAGGCCGGATCTTGCCTCTTTTTTCTTCTGAGAGGCCCAACCCACTATGGAATGCTTATCTGCTCCTGGTTTCTCCTCTAAGCCTCTATTCAAGCGCCAGATTTTTAATGTGTTGTCATCAGAACAGGTAGCAATCTAAGAAGAACAAGGAAAGCGGCGATAAAAAGTTTCATTCAAAGATTTACAACGAAGAAAAATGGATGTACCCCAAGGGCTCAAGACTGCAAAATTATTTTGTCTACCATAAGAGACAGAAAATGATATTTGGAAGATCATACACTTCCATCCCTTGCTTTCAAGGATCATTCCAAATTTTCAAAGACATTAACTCTAGTTTTTTCTCTATACATTTACTGATAGCAACCTTTGTCATCATTAATTTGTGACCTAACCCAAAGTTGTATAGCAGGCTCATTTTGTTCTATCAAGAAACTGAACAAGTCCTAATTTTTATCACCTTTACACTGACTCTGAAATATGTAATTACTATACCTTTTTCTGTAAAATCAGTGTATATCACCAACATTTCTGTGACCTTTTGAATCCTGCATGTTTTTTTTTTTTAAATTTTATTTAAAAGGAAAAAGAGAAAAAACAAAACAAAACAAAACAAAACAGTGTAAGGGTACAAGTAATACAGAACTACAAAAAAAAATTAAAAAAAAACCAAAAACAGTAAGAAATCACCAGTTAATAGATTACATATTATCATCTTAGAGATAGTTGCTCAAATCACAGTATCAAAGCATATAAAGTGGACATTCAAACAGTGAGACTGCAAACAGTTGTGTTCAATGATCCAACCAAAAACATTAATATGGTCAGCTATTTAACACCCTTAAACACACTTGCGAATCCTGCATGTTCTGCCTATTGCTGAAGAAGCGGGGTCATTTCCAAGACTGGACTTAGCACACGTCTCTAGTAGGCCATGACAAGTACACATTGAGACCACTGCCTTGAGATTCCTGTTCAGATAGGTAAAGGAGCAATCTGGGAAAACAGCAAGTTCACTAGGCAGAAACAAGTTAAAAATAACCTTTGCCCCTTCAAAAACATCTGACCATTCCCAATTGTGGTCCCAAGCCTTTTATGGCAGAGAAAGTCTAACTTGAGGAGCTTGTGGCAAATGGCCACTGGTACCAGAGTTATTCCCCAGCATTTGTTTATATAATTTCTCTATTTCAGTCACTAAAGAGAGGAAAAAAGAACACACGTTCTTTTAAGTCCTGGCCCCCAAGAGACCGGCAACTTTTTCCTTTCCTTACTGGGACACTACATACTTAACTGCTCAAGAAGAAATGTTTGGAATCTTACAATCACTCTCTAGTGCCATAACAGTAATTATTCATAGAGCACCTAGTGTATGTCTGGTAATTTAGATTCTCAAATTACAAAAATACTTGAACTCAAACAATCTCATCTGAAAAATGGGAATAAAGTTACAAGTCTTAGAGTACCATATTCTAGCCTCCTAACTCAAAGCTGATGAAAAATCACTGTTAGGATAGGCAATTAGCCATGGCATTTCCTTAGAGTCTTTCTTTTCTCACTGGAATTAAGGATAATACATGACTGGTTGAAAACTGAGTAATTTAAAAAACCATTCATCTTAATAAATTCCATAAAGGTACAATACCCTGCATTAAAAGCAGGTATTTTACTGGGAATTACATGGAATCAGAGGGGAAAAATGTCACTGGAGTGTAATTATGGATAATTCAAGTAATGATTAAAAAACCCAAAATGCCTGCCCTGAAGCAGACCACGGAAATGGTAACAGAAAGTGAAAAATGAAGAGAAATCCACGGTGATACAAGAAAGCTAGCAAGGATGCCACAAACAGGCCAGACTATGAGAAGTTCCTGGAAGACAAAAACAAAAACCAAAAAAACCTAGGTGGAAACAACAATGAAACCTCAAACATCACACATAAAAGGGGAGATGGCCCCCACGCGAGATTTCCCATGGGACACAGAGTCCCAAAGATGGCCAGGCACGGGACTGGCAGAATGAGGAGCCTGGCCTCTGCCGACAACGTTGCTACGTACATGTGCGGTTTGTTTGTGTTTCTGGCCTTTCTACATTTTAGGGTTCTTTTTTTAAAGTCTCACCACATTTCACATTTCTTAATGTATAAAGTTAAAATGTAGGCCTATTTTCTTCTTCCTGGAGTGTCTAAAACATCTCAGGCCTACTCTTCTTTCAAAGTTAAGCTACAGAGAAACTCACATATTGAGACTTCACAGGAACCGGTGTTTTAGTCATATGTGAAAACCCAAATCAGTGTTCCCCTAGGTGGAGAACACACACTGATAATATGCAGAAAGTGAAGAAGTCTAGGTGTAATCTGAGATTATTTTTTCACCTTAGATCTTAAGATGAAATTTTCAGTTAAAACCTAACACTACAGTTAGAGGAGAAGTGACTAGCAATCCTCAGCTATTCCTGCATGTACAGATGATTTCTCTACTATTAGAGCACCACTGACAAAGACCCCGGGAGACCTCTACAGTTTTTAAATCTCTAAAGGTAAAAATAAAAATCTAGGTGGGAATAATAGATGACAAGACCCCCAAACATCATGTATCATACATGAAAGGAATTTTAAGACAGCCTCTGTCTCGCAAGCAAACCTTGAGAAAACCCACAAAACTCTGATCTACTTTAAACAATTACACAGACTTGTTCACAAACCTTGGTGAAGTCAGATGGACACCAGCACACAGAAGTGACCTCTTGAGAGTGACCCAGGAGCACTGTAGGCGGGTGCCAGGGCGTAGAGACCTGGCCCAATCAGAGAGAAACACAAAAGTCAGTGCTAGGGCTCCCAGGCGGAGGCTCTGAATTTCTCACTGTACTGTAGAGAGCTTTCGCATAGTGACCAAAGGTACCTAAACTGAAGTAAGTACAGTTAAAAAAAAAATTCTAAATGGAGTATTTCTGTCTCTCAACTTTGGAAATACAATGAAAATAGTCAAGATAAGTAAAGAACACAAGGTTAGATCCCAGGATAATTCTTAATACAAATCAGGAGTACTAGCTATGTATATCTCTTTTGACTAAAATTCAAGACAGACACTGTCTCTTTTTCCTTCGCTGTGAGCTTTTCCGAAGGGTGAAGCAAAGCTGACAGGTAGCGCGCCCTGAGTGAGGTGAGTTCTGCTGTCACATAGCCTGGACAGCTCCAGACCTTCTCCAGTCAGCTGCTTCCAGGAACACTAACTTGATTGTGAAGCTTGAGGGGGGCTGAACCATGCAACCAGCTCCCCTGGGATACAAGGACAGTCTTCCTTCCAATAGAAGACCCATGACCCTCACCAAAATCCAAAGCAACACTCCTTCATTCTGAAAGGATAGAAGCTGGATCTTACGTGGGAGAAAATATTTTACCTCTCAAATTTTATTTCAGTAAATTTAAAGAAATCTTGACATTTACATTGTCAAGTGCGTCCCACCACAGTTTCCACTTCTGCATGCGCTGGGCTGTGCCGCACATCTGCCTAGGAACGTCACTTGCCTTTCACTGCATGTTGTCAGTGCTGTGCATTTGACAGCATCGCCCAGCTGACGCAGTTGAGAGCTGTCACTGAAGAATACAAACTCCCCTAACTATTCTTAACATGTTTGTTTGAAGAACAAGTAGCTTGGAACTGAGAGAAATTATTCTCTTGCTTTTTCTGAGGTTCTGAGTCATGGTTCATTTGTACTGAGAAAGTGAAGGCAACTTTAGAAAGAATAGTTTCTAGAATAACTAAGCAACAGATTCCTCATATTGTAGTTAAGAGGTGACACTGATTCATAAGATTATTCAACTCAATTCTTCCTTCTCTCCTCCCTGGGTTACCTGGCACATATGCACTGATTCAAAAGGCAAAAAGAAGACAGAAAGCTGAGTCTAAATTGCCAAGTTAATGAAAGTTTAATAGAAAAGGAAGCATTTCCTATATTCACAAAGATCTAGGCAGTAGCCTAGTAAGTATGACAACGCCACAGGACAGTAAGTTATTTCTTCCTAGGGTAACGTATTTGACAAGAGATTGTTAAGATAGCCACTAACTATCCCAGCAGCCACTGACATTGTCCCACCTGCTGCATTTGGGATGGCCCCAGTCCATTAACTTTGCCACATCTGGCCCAAATGGTTCTGGAAGTAAGAAGTTAAAAAAAAGGGAAAAGAGGCTAGGGATATAGCTCAGTGGTAGAGGGCATGCCTCCAAGTTTGATCCCCAGATCTGCAGGAAAAAGGGAGAGGAAATCCATGTATTCTTTTGAGCAGGCCTTTTGGGGACACAGCATTCTCATCTATTAGTTTACCCTGCTGATTGCCCCCAGCTTTTATTTCAACACACTACTTCTTCCTTAGGGAATCTAAATGTGTACACAAAGGATTAAAATGAGTTTCAAAGAAAACTGAATAGCCACCAACAGAATGCACACATATTTTTTAACGCTGTCTGCAGGGTCTCTGAGAAGAAAGAAGAGACTTTTGGAAAAACTTCCTATAATAATAATGTAATAACAATAAAAATAAAAGCCAGCATTTGTTAATTGAATATCATAAGCCAGGAAGTTTATATAGCACTAAAAGTGAGGGAAGGTTCCTCAAAGTTAAACAGACTTAAATGTCATGTGACCATGCAATCCTAGCTACACTTAGGTACATTCCAACAGAGAAACGGTAACATGTTCAAACAAAACTCACACAACAATGTTCACAGCAACTTTAAACACAAAGTCAGAAAGTACAAAGAATTCAAACGATTATCAACTGACATACAGATAAACAAGATGTGGTCTATCTACACAATGGAGTATTAGTCAACCATAAAAATAAATAAACTACTATCAATGCCACACGCGTGAACCTGGGTAGCATAACACCAGGTGAAAGCAGTCAGAAGTAACATGTCCTGCACTATGTGCTTCACCTGTATGAAACGTCCCAGAGAGGGACACCCGTCCACAGAGAGAACGCAGTTAGCAGCTGCCAGGGAGGGGCACAGACAGTGACTGTGGAAGGGTGTGGAGTTTCCGCTGTGATAAACCCTTGGAAATCAGTGGTAACAGTCATGCAATGTTGTGACTGAACTAAAAACTGCTGAACTGGGTACTTTAACTAAAACGATGAACTCTGTGTGGTAAGAATTCACTTTGATATTACAAAAATTATCATAATTGTATGATTTTGTTCTTTAAAAGCCTCACTTTCCTTTTAAGTAGGAAAAAGACTAGTAAGTCGAGACAGCTACAGTTAAGCCTTTTTGGCATGATCACAGACAGAAAACCCTTTCCTAAATATTCCTACAGAATGAAGGCTTCCAAGGCATAAGGAACCCCAAAATTAAAACTATCAAACTACCTTTAGAAGTAAATGGCTCTAAATTTGGATTTCATAAGGCATTCCGTGTACTTAAACACACAAATAACATCAGCAATTTTCCTCACAGAATCTCCTTACTCTGCCCAGTCGGAAGCCAAACCTAACCCTCACTTCTGCCATGAGATCATTTGCACTTCCTAAAGTGTCCGGCTCTGCGTCTCGCCAGTCAGCGGGGGGATGGCTGTGCCAAATCAGTTTATTTATAACCACTTCGATTCAGTAGCTATATCAGAAACAGACCAGGGAGGAGGGGATAGACAGGGCGAGGTGGGCCAATGGGTGGGAAATTAAGGAGGTGGACCCTAAATCTTCCAAAGGCTCTGCTCTCAGTAGTGGAGAGTCTAAGTCTAACGCGTCTCCCCTTTCTGGGACTACAGTGAAGGTTAAAAGGCCATTCATTCTCTTCTGTCATAAAACTCCTTACTCTTACTGTGTTCTTGTGCCCATTGGCTTCTGTAGCAGGGAAAATGCCAAGGCTTGAGAAGAATTCTAACCTACTGGGCACACAGAATTGTAAGACACCTCCCAACCCGGACATTCATCTGGTGTAGAACTATCCTTAGACCACCACCACTCTTTTTTCTCAATCATGGAAAAAAGAAACTGAGCCACCTCACTAGGCAAATTCAATTTTAGGAGCAGCAATCTTGCCAAGATCTCAAATATCAAGGCCTGTACCCAGAGTGAGGTGCAGACAGGGAGAAGAGCATCATGGTGAACCACGTCATTCGGCAGTAGCATGTGACCACGCCTAGGGACTCAGAAAGAGTCACCCATGGATGTGGCAGCCACTGATTGGATGTCTGCAAATGGGTTGGAAACAACAGGCAAGTATCTCTCACGTGTGTCTTTAGAGGGAAGAAGTACTCCATTAACCTTCACTCACCGAAACAGAAATGTTACAAGTTCCTTGTGCCACAGAAGACAGCTAAAGGAATTTTAAGAATTGGCAAGAAAATTATTTTTAAAGAAATTTATACACATGTATAACACACAATTATAAACGTAATGATATGTACGCATACTTTATAAACTTATCTACAATGATTTTTAAAAGATTGGTACGTAGCCATTTTTGCATAATCCTTCATTATGATTTTCGGTATGAAATTTCAGTTGGTTTTTATCTTTTAAGAATAAACTTGAAAAGATACAGACTTGTGGTAGGAATACAATTTTCTAGTTAAGCTGAGGGTCAAAGTGGAAAAAAGAATGTGGTTAAAGACAGTAAGAGAAGGAAAAAGAAAAATCGGTGAAACTCAAAATTTAAAGTATGAGACAAGCAGTAGCACTAGCGACATACACTAATAAAAGTTTAAAGTGCAAGAAAACATTTTATAGAGAAGAAATCAGATAAAAATTACTTTCCTAAGGACTCTCTAGTATATACTTTACAAGCAGAAATTCACTTAAAATACAATAAATAAGAAAGAAATGTGCTGTAAAGTAGCAGGCCCACCATAAAAGTATCTTGCATAGAACAGTATCTCCACCTTCTGACCAATTAGGGTTTTGATATTCAGTTGTCAAAAGGCAGTGCCACATTTTTCTAACTGTAGATATATTGACATCACTTTATCATTGCCCCATGACTTTTTCTTTTCTTCTTTAGTACTGGGAATTGAACTCAAGACCTCGTGCTTGCAAGGTAGGTACTGTGCCGCTGAGCTATGTTCCCGGCCCAACCTTTTCTCATTACACTTAAATGATTAACTTTAAATTTCTTAGTTTACAATAGCTATTAAGAAAAAAAAAAGCTGTTTAATAATACAATTAAATATAAATACACACATATCAGCCCTATCTATTTTAAGAGTATAAAGGTTGGCTACTTATAAGAGAGAACACAGAATATAATAAATATACAAATATGTCAGTGACTGTTTCAAGCAAGGTCCTAAAGATGATTCAAGTACAAATCTTTTTTTTTTTCCCCCCTTCTGCTTTTTTGACACAGGGTCTCAGTATGCAGTTCAGGCTGGCCTTGAGCTCACTTTGTAGCCCAGGGTGGTCTTGAAATCACAACGATCCTCCTGTCTCAGCCTCCCAAGTGCTGGGATTATAGACACACTCCATCACGCCCAGCTCAAATGTAAATCCTAAGAACTAAAGCATTCTACTTTGAAACAGAGTTGAATGCGCAGAGCAGAAAGGCAACACAGGACTTATCTAATGCCTGGTGCACCGCAAGTGCACCTTGTGCACTGTACCCCTGAGCTGCACTCCGGCCCTTACTGCCTTCTCATTCCCATCTTCCTGGTCATCTGTGAATAGGGGGTACGCCTTGGCCATAACAGAAGTGCATATATTCTTTGATAGCAAGACTTCAGCTATCTTAAGACATAGAAGCAGCTTTTAACAAATACCTGATCCAGAAAAAGTTAACAGTAAACATACTATTAAATTTAGCTCAGGGCCTGGGGATTTAGCTCAGGGGCCTGGGGATTTAGCTCAGCGGCGTAAGCACCTGCCTTGCAAGCAGGCAGTCGTGAGTTCGATCCCCGGTACCAATAAAAAGGAAAAAGACCAAAAAAAAAAAAAAAAAAAAAAAAAAAAAAATTTAGCTCAGATTGGAAAAAGTGGGGAAGGTGGCAATTTACCTTCCATATATAGGCAGCTTCATCACTTGAACCACTGAGTAAAAACTGATCATCTGGACTAAGACTTGATTTCACGTAAAAGGTAGAGTTCTGATGTCCGTTGAAGACAGCCACTGCCAGAAGATAAAAATAACATTATTGAATTGTTATTTCGTGTTCAAATGTTCAAAATAAATATAGACAGTGTGCACACACATGGGGGTGTATCTAACAAGTTTTATCACTGTGTTGACCACTGAAGCAGATGGTCAAGCTAGCTTTATTCACCAAAGTAACAGGAAAGTTGTCATTGACCAAAAAAGGAAAATCCTAAAAAAGGCTTTTGGACCTACCACCATAAAGATACTGTCTGGTGTTACCATGTGAGAGAACAGGAAAACATTCTTAAGCGAAAAGAATGCAGGGAAGGTCAATCCTGCAGTAAAACAATGATGCGACCCCTCTTTTCCCAGGCTGTGGCTTTTTCTCTTGCATTATACTGTGGTCTTACTTCTCAGACCTTGAGCCTCTTTAGGATACGTTTCAAATCTTGTTCCTCCCTACATTTTTTAAGGTTTTGAACAGAGTAAATCCTTCAGTGTTTGTTCCATGAATAGGTAACGATCAGTGAAGAAGGTCTTGCGAATTCTGGCTAAAACTTCCTGACACTTCTCTGAGAGGTCAGCCTTATCAGCCGGGAGGCTGAGTGGTAAAGGAGCCAGTGGGGAAACTGCTCCCGTAGGAGACGCGAGGTGAGGGCAGTGGCTGCCTGCTCACCACACGCAGCAGAAAAGCAAGTTACCGCGTCCAGCACAGCGTGCTCTCGTCAGGCGCTGTTATTCTAAAAGGGATAAACCTGAGGCCTTTGGCACCAGAGCGCTTCCAAGAAATTTAAGAGAAAATCGCATTTACTGGAGAATTTAAGGATAAATTTAGGCAGGAGGTAAACTCATACTTGTACTTTTAACAGAGAGAGAGAAGTATTAGTAAGGGACTTAGTGTTCCGTAAGTACTTAGGGAAATTCTTTCCTTTTTCTGCAGTAAGTGGAAGAGAAGTTCATATTTTTAGCTTTTAAAGGAAAAGTCTACAAATCAAATATTCCCCACAGCAAGACATTTTTACTGTGAAATTTAAACAGGATATTCCTCAACTCAGATACATATATTATAAATTTGCTGCAACAGACAAATCCCTGCAAAATGAAGAGGCTCCTTTACAGTGAACACTGCCCAAAACTACTCTAATTGTTCATCTTCTTCAACTACACAACCAGACATGGAAAACTAACGACTGAATTTCCCACAAAACCACTAAGTATTTATTGCCCTCTGCTGGTCTAAGAAGGGCTGGTACAACTTTATTGTCTGTTATTCTGGCTGCTAATCTGTGTTTATGATAATTGATAAAAGACTTGAAAATAATAATATTCATCGAAAGGAAAGTTTTGTTATGCATTTTTATCTTTAAGAATCTTTTTGGTTTGTGTCTTGTAACTACTTTGAAGATAATGATATATATGTAATAACTATTGTTATTCTCTTATTTGGTTAGGGAATTTTGTTTTATTTTCTCAAGTTAAAAAAAAAAAAAAAAAAAAGGCTGAGGGCGGGGGATTTGGCTCAGTGGTGTAACTGCCTGCCTGACGAGCGCTTGGTTGTGAGTTCAAGCCCAGGTACAAAAACAAAAAACAAAAAACTGGTATGAAATACATTGTGAATATTGTTTTAATCTTGCTACAAGTCTTTTTAAAACCTAACTGGCTCAATTCACTCTTTTGTAAAGCTCTTAAAATTGCTTGAGAGTCATCTTTTTATTATTTAGTATGGAACTGTGAATAAAACATGGTAATTGAGTTCACAACATTTTAAAGTTTTTAAAAAAAATAATCACCCCACATCACATATCACACACACAACCTCCAACACACAGCTATCACTCAAATTCTGAGAAACAAATTAATCAATCTACCCATCTATCTTTGAGAACAAAATTATTTTAGGAGAAAAAAGTTACTAAATTACTAGCAAAGTGTTTGATGGCAGATGGACAAACTCACTCAAGGCCCTTTTAGTGTCACGCTGTAGGAAAATAGAAAAGAAAAAGAACTCTTGATATATCTGATAAAAATATCATGAGGATTATAATGGCTTTTATCTTTGTGTCTTGAACTCATGGTAATCCTCCTTTTCCAGCCTTCTGAGCTCTGAGATTACAGGTGAGGCCCACCATGCCCAGCTAGGCAAGGAACAACTTTGAAAAGTCTATTTTATTTGATTAACTAAATCAGCAGCTACCCAAGTTCAGATTTCTTTAAGAAAAAGAATTTAAAAAGTTACAAAACCTCTTCCTTTTCCCAAATACTCTTGTTCCTTCCAAAAACAACAGGCCTAAGCCCAGCTATGATGCTGCCACAGATGTCAAAGTTCTAATGAGACTGCAAGGGGCAATCTTTGGAAACTTCTCCAACATCAGAGCCAACATGAACTGCTTTGAGGCATCTTGTCTATGAGCACACCTAGACACTAGGCCCTAAGTAGCTCTGGGCCTACTTTTGGGTCACGGAATTCAAAGTGTTCCTGACGGGACCTGAGGAACAACCAGGACTCTAATATGTAGCTTGCTTAAATTGTTACCAGTACTTTTAAAAATAATGTAACAACCTTAAAGCATATTTGAGAAACTTGAGTTTCTCTTTTTTAAAATATTTATTTATGAGCATCAGATTCTACTTTTATATTCTTTAATATAAAAAGAAAGGTTGGGTTGGAGGAAAAAAAACCACAAAAAGAAAATGGCCACTCTCCAATATTCAAAAGAAGGCTGAGGGAAGGTGGAATTGCCATCTGAGAAAGAGGTCTGAAAAACTCAGCCTTTAATGTGTGTGTGTGTGGGTGTTGTGCTGGGGACTGAACCCAGAGCTCATGCACCTTAGGAAACTGCCCTGCCACTGAACTACAGTCCTGCTCTCTAATTTTAACTAACAGCTCTCAAAGAGGACAACAGTTAAGCAGAACAGCTTTCTTTATCCTGAAAGGTTGAAAAGTAAAATATTGTTAATTTTAAATACAGTCCAAATGGCATGATTTTAGGAGACTATTAAAATGAAATCGAGTCATCACACAGAGAAGGATCGTTAACAGTCAAAAGGAAAGTACCCCAATAAAAAAATCACTAGAACTAATTAAACACACTGAAGTCCTCATATGGCTTGTTAAGTTTTGTTTAAAAAAACAATGAAATCATCATTTAAAAAAAAAAAAAACTCTACTAGTTTCCTGGTAAAAGAATATGAATCACTACTATCTTACCTGGAGAGGTCTTTAAGCCAGTCATATTGAACATGTAGATGTTATCATCTGTGCAATTAGCAAATAAAGTGGAGCCCGTAGAATCCAGAATCAGACTGGAGTATCCTGGGGAAAGGAAACTGAAGTTATCACGACAATGACTAGACTTGGGGCTAAAATGCAGAGGCAGATAGAGATCACTGTACAAGACACTATCAGATGGAGACAGCAGAATTTTTGCTCCTCAAAATATACACAAATCAAACATATCCTTCTGAGTTTGTATTTACTGAAGTTTGAAAGTAACACATCTGAGAGTTCTTCCAGTCTATGTTCTGAAACTAGCTTGCTAAAAACATTTTTTAAAAAACTTTATACAGAAATTCACCTCTCTTTCAAAAAGTGCCACAGTCTATACAACAGCTTACCTAGTTTTCGAGTGCTGCTACCTGGGTACAAGAAAAACTTGGATGCTATGGGTTCTTGTCGATAAGCAGTATAATTCTTGCGTAAGTCCCATATTTTGATTATCCTAAAAACCAAGACAAATAGTTACTTGGGAGACTCACCCCACCCCAAACAACTTCACTTACAGCAAATGTGAAATGACTTTTATTCTAACTCCTCTGGCACTTTTACCAGGTGCACTCAGGACACCTGGTTGCGAAACAAATGAAACTATTTTATACCTTTGCTTCCAGTGTCAGGCTTATAATTCTGACAGAACGGAAACAGATGTGATTTGACCCAGTGATGGGTTAATGGAGTTTACTTCAAGAAAGCGGAAAAGGAAGATGCAGTTGCATGCTGATAGTCACTGTTCCATTGTTTCAGAAAAGCATTTCCTAAATCTTTACTAATCTGCGTATATCCTTTGACATCATAAGCAGTAAGCTCTGTTCCTATGGTTATATCTCTACATGTAACTCCCTCAGTAAAACAGCTTACCCAAATTTTCCTGTGAAACAGGAAAAGACTTTCTTAGTCTTTTGGGATGAATGTCTTAATCCCCGACTTCCAACGCGTGTTTTGTCTAAAAACACAAGCTTGGTATAAAATCGCAGTGTCTGGAGTAAAATGGAGTGAGCTTTCACAAGCATAACTACTGACTTCCAGATAATCCTTCACTCCTGACAAAAGTCTGGTTCAAAGAAGGGTAAAAGTACACAGAAGAAACAATGCAATTCCTAGTTTAGTCAGCCATCATCTTTATAAATTAAGAATTTTGAAGGAAGTGTTGCAGTTGGAGACACAATGGGCAAAGTATGCTTCAGCATGTTCATGACAGGGATATAATTTGTACGGTTCCGGTGCCACCCCACGGAGCCGCACATGTACCACTAGTGGTTCAAGTGCAAATGTATTAAAAAGAGTCCTTAAACAAAAAGAAGTAAGATAAAACAAAAAAGGTCTCTACACATGAAGAATTTATTTTTTATAAAGTAACCAATTAACAACCATCACAGACTTATTTGGAAGCCAAAAGTCCACACTAATCATGATGGGAAGTACATAAGCCTTATGATCAATTTAGATTACTCTCAGAAATGCCAGGTACCTGGCCCAAATCAAGCTTCTTCTTTTAAAAATATTGCTGAACGTGAAAAAATACAACCCAAAATAACAAAAATTTTACTCCTCCAAAGAAGAGTCAGGGCTAAGTGGCACTGGCACAGGCAATCGGGCTGCGGTGTCACTTCTCTGAAACCACCGCAGCAGTTAGGGCTGTTTCCTATGATAGGCAATGTGCAAGGGGTGACCTGTGTGTTTTATCATTTAATTAGCTGAGCAGGAGTTCCAACTATCTGTAGTTTCTCAGCTGGGGTGGGTACTCATTCAGCCAAAAGTTTAAAGTGTTCAGTTATACTGGGAGTGGGTAACTTGCTCGGCATTTCATCAAACAGAACCAAGGAATAAAGTCTCTTACCCATCTACAGCTCCTGCTGAAACTAATGTATTCTCATCTTGAAAAAGGACCACAGTAACGCTCTGCTGGAAATCCTAATAGCACAAGAAAGAGCAAGAAGAGAAGGAAATTCCATCTGGGGCACTAGCTTCACCATCAAGAAACCAAGGTGCTAAAAAAATGGCTCCCTCACCCACACTCTGAATTACACTGAATCTTCTCTTTCCAACAACCCTGTGTTGTGTGTGTTAGCAGGGAAACGACCTGAGCATTATTAAGTTATGGCACGCAGTGTTAACACTTTAACTGGTAATCAAAAAACAAACTGGAGACTAAATCATTTTACTTCCTTCAGCTCACTGATTTTACTTAGATTCAGCCCTAATAATGAACTGTATCTGCAGGAAACTCATTTAACTTTCCTGTGCCCATTTCATCTAGAAAAGATTGCTTCCTAGGCAGATTATCACACTGGAACACTTTAGAGAATTGTGGGTGAAAGACTGCATGCCCTGAAAAAGTGACTGGGGCTCACGGTGTTTGATCTGCAACTACCTTAACAAGTTCTCTTGGCTCAGAACCTGATGTCTGTGCTTCCAGTCATGTCTCTGACCTGGTATAGCTGTAGTTTTAAGGCCTAATGTTTTAGTAATCGCACTTCCCCAGAATAATTACTTGGACCCAACAAACAAAAAATATAATAAAAACACACAAAAGTTTTACCAGGTGCACTCAGGACACCTGGTTGCGAAACAAATGAAACTATTTTATACCTTTGTTTCCAGTGTTAGGCTTATAATTCTGACAGAACGGAAACAGGTGTGCTGTGAGATCACTGGCAATCTTTTTTTTCTGAAGAGATGTATTATGGGCATAGCTTTTGACTAGGGTAGCTCTAGCTCTATGTGCTACCCAAGTGTTTCTCAAAATATTTAAGAATATTTTGCTGCATGTTTAAAAATATACAAAAAAATTCACATGGTACTATAGTTTACATCATGAAATAGGGATGTTTTCCCCCTATTTAAAAAGTATCACTGTACTTAATACAGTTTTTCAAACTACCTTCCCACTTTTCCTACGGAAGCATACTATATTGTGGGTATGTATATTTGAAGATCTCCAGGGCCAATGCTCTAAAAGCTGAGTTTTAAACATGTGCCCTAGGTAGCACTAATGCTTACCACAGAAGGAGCGAGTCCTTTGGAATTCTGTTTCTTCTTAGGCTTTGAAGGTGTTTGCTTGTCTGACGTATTATGAGCTCCACTAATTTGGTTCACTTGTCTATAAAACCCATCTGAAAAATATTCCCAGGAAACTGGTTTAGTTTTTTGGTTTTTATATCATGCTGAATGTAATATTTATACATATAACTTTAAGATGAAATAACTTTGACCAAATTAATGAAATTAGAAGCCAGTAGTTATCAACACTATATCTCCCGTGATGAGATTATAAAGTATAAAAAGGAAGAACACACACGTTGAAGCTAGCTTTATTTATAATAGATCAAACTTGGAGGCAATCACGATCCCCTTCAGTAGGTGAATGAGTAAATCAAAGCATCCAAACAGAAAAGTACTCAATGCTAAAAAGAAATGAGCTTGATAAAGCCATAAAGACTTAAAAGAAATCTAAATGCATATTACTAAGTGAAAGAAGGCAATCTAAAAACACTCTATACTCTGACTCTTAACTATAAAACATTCTGAAAAAGGCAAAACTTCAGAGATGAAAAAAGATCAGTGGGTGTCTGCACTTAAGAGGGGAGGCAGACATGAACAGCAGAGTGCAGAAGAGTTTTAGAGTAAACTATTCTTTTTGATGTTGTAAAAGCATATATTATAATATTATACATTTGTTGCTGCCCACGAATATACAACTGAATATACAGCAAGAGTTAGTGAGCCCAAATGTAAACAATGGATCTCAGGTGCTGCTGAGGTGTTGCTGTAGGTTCATCCTCAGTCACAATAAATGTACCACTCGGGCGGAAGATGCTGACAGTGGGGAGGCCATGTATATTTAGGGGCTGGGGCTGTGCGGAAATTCTACCTTCTGCTGCATTTTGCTATAAACCTAAAACTGCTCTACAATATAAAGCTCATTAATATTTTAAAAATCCATCAATAATTCTGATCATCATTAATGGTACATAATTATATTTAATTTGATTTTTTTTTGCTTTTTTCTTTTTGAGGCAGGGTCTCACTATGAAGTTCAGGGCTGACTTTGGGCTCATTTTGTAGCCTAGGCTGGTGTCGAACTTGCAAACCAGTCTCCTGCCTCGCCTCCTATGTGCTGGCATCACAGGAATGCACCTCTGCCTGGCTTTTTCAATTTCATTCTTTAACGCTAAAAGGACGATTTAAATTAAAAGACATTTACACAGTGCACCTATGCATTAATAATTTAGACATATAGCGTTATGATTCAGAGGACATTATGAAGTAAATACATGAATGTAACAGTGCTCACAACAATCACTGGTATCCTGAGAATTGACTGGTGCGCAGACACGGTGGTTTATGAGTACATGCGCCCTCTGGTGGTACGCAGACAAAATCACTAACACTGTCATTGAAAATGAAGTATGGGATCCCACTTCTGTGAAAATTAGAACCGAACAGGGTTACCTTTTTTGTTGCATCTGGTATCCCAGACCATAATGTTGCCATCTCTTCCACCTGTACAGAACACAGCTGTGGAGAGATAAGTAGTTGAACAGTTTAGCAAGAGGTTAATAAAACCAGTCAAATGACACATACATTTCAATTTAATTTCTGGAGTATCTGTGCTGGGTACTGCATTTGACACTGGTGATTAAAACTTTTAAAATATATGGTTCAACAACAAATGGGATTACAAAGAGCTCAAGATCCCTCCATAAATTTTCTTTAGACAGTAACTCTAGATCATAATCCTTTGGTGTAAATTTACTTAAAATTACATAAAATACTAGAGCTCAGAGAAGATACGTAAATTGTACATTAACTTTTGGCGGTGTAACTCCAGAGGCTCCATGTTTTGTATTTTTTGGTCTCCACAGAACCTTCGGATACCTGTTTCTGGTGTTCTGTTCAATTTACAGTTAATACAGGTAGTTTGTTAAGTGGTCACGTCCATAGAGGAAGCAGTGCCTTTTTAATTTAACTTTAAATAGTAAAGTATCACAGATTAAACAGATGTTGTCTATGCTCCATTCTTCAATCCCTTGTCCTCCTTCCATTCCCAGAGGTAATCGTTCACAAATGGAAGACGTATTTCAGTATTTTTATACTAAGACAATATAATCTGGGGCGAGGAGGTGAACATCCAAAGCAAGCAACGGACCTCGGGTCAGTTTCTGGTTTGGGGAGGTAGCGATCCCTTGAGAGCAGCCACAGTTACAGCACTAGGACCAGGCAGCTAAAATATCCGCAGAAAAACTATCATCTTTCAAGCCAGAGGAACCAGAAAAAGGAGCTGCCAGAGAGCACAGCCACAGAAAGAGAACACTTAATCATATGTGGAAGAAAACATGGATTGAGGTTTAAACTAAACAAAATCCATTCTACTGGAGGTATGACGGTCTGCAACTTGAGTCTAAATGACTTGACTGGTGAGAGAGAAACAATAACTCTTTTCTAAGCAATATAACAGAATCCAGAATCTAACATCCAATATATCATTCACAATGCCCATTACTTTGATGTACAAAAAAGCCAGGAAAACGAGTTGTTCTCAAGGGAAAAGAAACCAATGGAACCCAATTCTAAGAAAACTCCCATGTTGATTTACTAGGTAAGAATGTAAAAGCAGATAACAACTTATGTCAAATGAGGTAAACAAATACACACTTGCAATTAAGGAATAAAAAGCAAATCTCAGCAGAAACCGAATTTGTAAAAACAGAAATCTTAGAACCAAATAACAATAACCGAAACAGCAAAAATGCTCTAGACAGACTTAAGAACAAGTGGAGAGATCATATAAACTCACTTAAAGACAAATCCATTTAAATCACTTAATTTGAAATAGAGCTTGAGCAGCATGCTAAATTTAAAAAACTAGTTACAGAAGACTACATGTTATTTCTTCCCATTTATATATTAAGGTGAAGCACATGCAAAGCTATAGTTATGGTTGATACACTGTGTCAACTTGAGAAATTTAGAAGTTTAATTAAGAGACACAGCAGGGAGCTAGGCTTCTTGCTCAGTAAATATCCTCCTCCTGTGCAAGAGGAGGGCAAGGAGATTTTGTGAGTCCTACACCTGCCCTGGAGAGGAGGGGTGGGGGAGTCTGTGCAATACAAGGGTGGAAAAGAGGCTTGCTGGTTTTTTGTGATGCCTTTGGGCCATCTTTTCTATTTTGTTCCATCATAGCAATGGAGATTTCAGCTCTATCTTTGCAGTCCACAGCTTTACTGAAGCTTCCTTTCTAGCCAAACTCACATTTTTTAAGTCATGCTACTAGGCTCTTTGTTCATGGTTCACAACATAAATCTGGCTAAAAGTCCCTAACAATAGCCAGGCCACCTCCTCAACATTTGACTGCCTTGAAATTTCTTCTGCCACATTCATTAGTCTCCACTGTCCTTTAATCTTAGTCTCAGGTAAAGTCTCTAGACACGAGAAAAATGCTGACAAATTTTTTGCCAACTCATAACACACATCATCTGGAGTCCAACAACAACAATGCAGTCCCTCTTCCCAGCAGAAACCTCCCAAGCCTGGTGTGTACTGGAGATTTCTATCAGCCTTCTGGTCTTCTGTGGTCCCACCAGAATCCCCCATACAGAACAGCCTAGGATGTTCTCATGCTGCTCTTTCAGACATCTCAGAACCTTTCCAAACTCTTCTCCTCTTTTACTCTGGCTGCTGCCTTGACGCGTTGCCCTGGTGCCATGCCACCCTGCCTTGGTGCCAACTGATTATGCACTGAAACCTCCCTAATTTTGGGTGTCAGGTATTTTGCCTCAGCGAGAGAAAAATAACCAGGACATCCATAAAAACAGAAAATAGGAGTGGTTATACTTGGCTAAGGGAATTGTGGATGGAAAGATGTGCAAATAGGTTAGTTTTCTTTCAGGCTGATGAAAATGTTCTAACCATAGAATGCAGTGGATTGTTGCAATACTCAGAACAAACTGAAAATAGGCAGACTTAATGGTATGCACAGTGGTTTGAATGGCTTGTCCCCTCTAAAATGCAAGTTAGAATTTAATAACCATTTTGGTAGTGTTGGGCGTAAGGCCTTTAAGAGAGAACTGGGTCGTGATTGGATTAATGGGTCTCCTTGGAGGTGGTTTTGCCATGAAAGTGAGCTCTCTGGCTGGTTGCTTCTGGCTCACTGTGCAATGCCCTCTGCCTGTTATAATGCAGCAGAAAGGCCCTCACCAGATAGCCAGAGTTGGCCCTAGGGATACCTAGCCTGCAGGACAGTGGGCTAAATAAACCCCTAATCTTATATTATGCTATCTCGGGTATTTTATTATAGCAACAGAGAACTGACCAAGCCCATGTTAGTTATATTTCAAATTTAAGAAAACTGAAAAAAATTAGTTAAATCTTCAAGATTTCCGGGATGATTTCAAAAGATTTCATGTACTTGGGTACATGAGCAGTTGGGTCTAGAAGTGGAAGAGAAAAAGGAAAGGAGACATGAAGCAAGAAGAGAGCAGAAAACAACAGAGAGTATGAATGAGTTAGGCAGAAAAAAATATTAAAAGAAAAGCTGGCAGAAACTTCTCAATTCAGTGAAACATAAATTTGTAAATCCCAATGTTGAACAAGCCCCACACAGGGTTTGGAGGAACCATGACTAGCATATCATAGTCAAACTGCTGAAAGCCAAAGATTCTGAATTTAGCCAGGGAAAAGAACAAATTATATATGGAAAAATAAAGTTTCAAATGAAACCATGGAAGACAATGGAACAACTTTAAATTATGAAAGATCAAAAGCTGTCAATTCAATTGATTTTTTTGTTGGCAGTATTAAGGACTGAATGCAGGGCCTGGTAAGTGCGCATGCTAGGTAAGTGCTCTATCACTGTCAGATATCTCCAGCTCTTTACATTTTTGAAACAGGTTTTTTTTTTTTTTTTTTTGGTGCCAGGGATCGAACTCATGACCTCGCACTTGCCAGGCAGGCGCTTAAGCCCCTGAGCTAAATCCCCAGCCCCGTTGAAACAAGTTCTTAATAAGCTGCACATCCTGATCTCAAATTTGTGACCTTCCTGTTCTAACCCCGCAAATAGCTGGGATTACAGGAATGTATCACCACACTCAGAAAGAATTTTACATCCAACAAAAACATCCTTAAGAATGAGCTATAGAGACATCTTCAGATATAAGAAAACAAAGACAATTTATTGCCACCAGACTTCCACTAAAACAAATGTTAAGGAAAGCTCTTCATACCAAAGGAAATGATGTCAGAGGGGAGAAAATCCATGAGTTCAAGGATAAATCATGAGTTGGATTTGGGTATGTTGAACTTGAAGTGCTTGCAGAGAGTCTAAGTACAGAAGTATAGATTTGTGTCAATATAACTAACATGGCAAAGGAACAAAAATTTGGGGTAGATGAAAACTATCCAGGGAGAAAGTATAGATTGAATAGAAAAGAAAGGCCCAGTACCATAATCTGAACCACGCTAACACTTTAGCTAAAGAAGTACAGTACACAGGAAGAAATAAACAAAAGGCATAAGGAGAATTAGAAGGAAATGGTACACAGGTTCTGAGACAGAAAAGAATATTTATGAAATTTTACAAATGGCCAAGTAGAAGAAAAGGCGGAAAAGTCTCACTGTTGCTGACATTTAGGTAACAGTTAGGTATTAATGTTATTAAATTAGGAAACAAAGGCCCAGGGAGATGAAAATGATTTTGCTCAAGAGTTTAGAGGCACATTTTAGAACAAAACGTAAGGCTTTTATGCATGGTTACAAAAGTGTGCCCTGCACAAGGGCATATGACTAAGGAAGTGAGACTTAAATTGAGTCTCTGGCTAACCAAACCCTGGACCATTGAGGGCATTTTCTAACCACTCACCCACGCTGGGTACCCGTGGCCTATTGGGAACCATGGGAAAAGCCACTTGCCCCAGTGTCTAATGCTATGCTTTTTCTATCAAAACACGGTAGCACAAATTTACTCACATGCAGAGTCTCTGAAAGTTAAGCAAAGGGATCAAAAGATTGGTGTTTCCCTCTTGTATCACTCTTCATTTAAGAAAAATTTTCATAATCTTAACTTTTATGGACTTAAAGTGAATTCTGGCACAGGCGTGCAGTAAACTTAACTTTGTACAACAGATGTGTTAATAAAAACTTATGCAGAGAGATCAAAATTCATGACATCATATTTCCTCCTTATGGTTCCATCTCAATAGCAGACATGCAACTTTACAACACTGACTTTAAAAGTCCAAAACAGCTAAACAACTCAGTTTAATATTCTGAATAAGTAAAAACATTTTTTTTAAAAAGCAGAGTATTTTTTAATATTAAAGAAGACTGTAATGTTTGTCTCTATAATTCTAAAAGTCAGGTTAACTCAGATACTTTTTTGAGATAAGTGTTTATTGATCTATCTGTAAAAAAATTAGTGATTAAACAAACAGGAGAAAACAAAAGATGTAAATTAAAGCTCATTTGGACATGCCTGCTCAGTATTTGCTTAGCTGCTAGGGTACTAGTATATCATTCTTTAATTCTTCTTTCTCCATTAGAATAGCAAAATAGAAAAATCAAGTTTGAAAAACAGTTGGAAATACTACAAAACTAGGTCATTTAACTAATTAAATACCTGGTAAATTTTTAGGTAGAGAATCACATCCAGCTGATCAGGAGTTTCACCCTGACCTTGTACTCCATTTAAATTTTATAAATAGGGGTAATGAGTACCCTGCACACGGTTTTGACTTGAATGAACAATCAAAGTTAAACAGGTGTACTGTGGTTATTCGTAACCTTTTACTGTATCTGCAAGGTAACTTTCGACTTTCAAGGACAAACTGGAGAAAATGACCATAAATAAAACCAACTTATTTCATTATTGCTTTGAGTTGCATTAGGGTTTCAATCATCTATACAGGTAATGTAAGAACTCTGAGAAAGGATAGACACAGTTTCTTCTTTTCACACCATAACGGAGATTAGGAGATAAAAGGGCAAACACAAACCTACCTTTCTGAAACTTAGAAAATGCAACTGACTTGAGACTGCACTGATGACCTTTGCATGTTCCAATCAGCTCACCAGCTTTTACGTCCCAAAATTTGGCTGTTTGATCCCCTGCTGCTGTAACCTTTCAAAAATAAGGTGGTAAAATTTAACAAAGCAATCCTTTACCAGTGTTTACTCAGACCCTAATAAAATGAAAATCACTTACAAGTTTAAGTTCACCAGGGACCCAGGCCAGGTCAAAGACAGCATTCCAGTGAGCCATCCATTCTAAATAAAGAAGATAGTAGGTGTGAACTGTCTAGAATGTGTTCTGTGGAAGTCTTATCAATAACAATTCAATGCTCAGAAAGTTGTAGTGAAAAGAGCAGGGATCACTTGTGGACTCAGACATCTCCTTCCTGAGAGGGCATCTCTCACACTACTCTCCACATAGCTTACTCCAACCAAACCGGACCATTCTCTACTTCTGATAGCCTATGCTTTCCTATCTGTGAGCAAGCTAACATTTCCCCCTATACTTGGAGTGTCTTCTTCAAATGCCATTGTTTTAAACACTATAGGTTCAACTCAAATGTTCCATTTTCATGAAAAATTTCCCTTTGCCTACCTTTCCTGGCTTGCTTTTGTACTTTTATATCATTTATAGTCTTTGTGTCATTTTAGTTGTTTCAAAACAAGACTTTCTAGTTTCAAATATAAGCTTCTTTTTTTTTTTTTTTTTTTGTCTTTTTCATTTTTATCGGTACCGGGGATCGAACTCACGACCGCCTGCTTGCAAGGCAGGTGCTTATGCCGCTGAGCTAAACCCCTAGCCCTCAAATATAAGCTTCTTAAGGTCGGCGGAACTCTGCTTTATACATAAAGATACTTTATCAATATTTAAAATATTATTTCCCCAAGCACTTTAAGTGTAAAAGACTTAACTTTTTTGAAATTAACAGTTTAAATAAAATAAAAGAACTGTTTTTGATTCAAAAATAAGCTTTCCTTAAAGTCTAGAGCACATTTTGTCATAGGTGACAGCCACTGTCAGCAAGGCAGTCCATCGTTCACTTTGAACATCCTCCCTTATTACTGAATACATCCCAATAGTAACTTTTACTTGCAACTTTATGAATTAAAAATAATGTTAAAGTAAATATTGTAAATCTAAACTTACCTTTGAAGCACTTTTTCCTGATAGTTTGTGTTTCTGTATTATATAATCTGACAAAGCCTTCTTCATTGGCAACTGCTAATATATGTTCCATGCTGGGAGCTTTAAAGAAAGGAAGAATACAAAACAAGTAATGCCAAATTTTTCAAGACAGTATAAAGGTATTAAATGACTCAAAGCCTTTATCAAAATTATCTTCAGATAGTTTCTTATCTAGCAGGGCTAAATCAAAAGTGGAACTTAAGAATGAACCAGGCAGGGGTAGCAAATGAAAGTATATAATGATACAGGCAGCTGTCAGTTTTAAATTTTCTTTTCACCTTTCAGTTTAGTACTCTTAAAACCATTAAGGATAGAAATAGGTCTATATATTTCCCAATGAACAACAGAAAAATTATTTTTCAGCCAGATCAAAAGCAGTGACTACTAAACAAAATTGTGTTCATGGTAGCTGGACCTGTGTGATCCTTTCCATATACTGGTTCCAAAAAAGTGCTATATGCTATTCCTTTTTTCCCATGCTACAGGAAATATACAATTATGCTAATTATGCATAGAAATTTAAAAGGCCTATTATTGGTAATCAGAAAAGAATTATTATTGCAAGAATTCTAATATTAACTTGTTTTTCTTTCAAAGGACTATAACCCAGCATATTTTCCTTCTAAGCTGGGGCTACAATATTTCTGTACAGGCTTAACCTGGGTAGTACTAATTCTCTTACCAGAGGAGAAAGTGCATCCAAAAGGAGGAACTGGGACTCCTGTTTCTCCGTAAGAAGTGTGCTCATCGTGACAGCTGCACTGATAACCAGTTAGGAGGGATTGCAGAGGGTAATGTGAAGACCACCCTAAAACAAGATGATTCCTTGTAGAATTCCATAGCAATATCTCATTTCAGGACTTTTAACAAATGCAGAGATAAACATTTGTTCTCAAAGGGCTTTATTTTAACATAGATTCATTCATTCATTCACTATAGTATCTCTGTCCTCTAGATCACTCACTTTTTTCTGGTATTTTCTTAAGAGGGCCTAGGAAGAAATAAAAACACTGCCAACTTGAGGTAAGGTACAGCATCACACTTGCCAGCTTAAATGGAGACCCTTATTAAGGCACTAAGAGTCGAAGAAATGAGTGGCTTTTGTACATGACAAAAATCGTGTCTCTTTCAGCAAAGACACAATTACAAAAGCATTACTTTCAAAAGTGCTGTTCCCTTCAAGCAAAGTTTCATTAGTGTTTTGGAGTCCCTAAATCCAACGTTGTTACAAATGTTCAAGTTGCTAGTAATCATTAAATATGACCCAATGCTCAACTCTCAGATGAAATAATGCGTTTACATGCCCATTATAGGCAGTAAGATATTTGCTAAATAAGTGACATTTCTTTATGGTGCTGAAATTCTAGGATTCTAAATTGTTAACAGCAACAAGCCATAGCATTTGAAGATGTATTAGAGCAGGGGCTGAGGATTTAGCTCAGCGGCATAAGCGCCTGCCTTGCAAGCAGGCAGTTGTGAGTTCGATTCCTGGTACCGATAAAAAAAAAAGATATATGAGAGCAATTTTAAATTATGTATCTACTCCTAAAAATATTGAATCATGGAAGCCTTTAAAGCTCTTGATGAGAAATATTTTATTGTATTTTTTATTAGTGCATGTTTGCAGTACATAATGATTACATGTATTGTGGCATATTGGTACATGTATATAACACATCTCCTTCCAACTCTTGGTCCTCTTCATTGCAAAAGTTGTACTTTTCCTTTTTTCAGTTCATTTTTTGCCACACCCCTTTCTTCCCTTCTTCTCATCTTGATCCCTTTCCATTTGAAAAAAAAAAAAAAATCCCCCTTCTTCCCATTATCTTTCATTTTGCTCTTTATTTTTATTTTGGCTTTCCCATATAAGAAAAACCATTTATTTAAGCTTGTGTGTCCAATTTATTTACTATTCTCTTTTTCTCTTTTTTTTTTTTTGTCTTTTTCGTTTTTATCGGTACCAGCCCCTCACTTACTATTCTCAATGTGCATGTATTTGCTCATTGTTTTTTTTATGTCAGAGTACTACTCCAATGTCTGTAAATACATTTTCTCTATTTACCTGTTGAGGGATAAACAGGTTGTCTTCAAGATTTAGCTATTATAAATTGTACTACTATAAATATGAGTATGCACCTATTACTATAATATGATGACTTCACCTCTTTTGGAAAAATATATAGAATAGTTGGATTAGATGAAATTTCTGTTTGTAGTTTTTTGCAGAATCTCCATACTGATTTCCACAATAGTTTACAAGTTTACATTCCCACCAACAACATAAAAGGGTTCTCCCATCCCTGCAGCTGCACCTGCATCTGTTATTATTTCTTTTTTATGGTAGCCATCCTTGCTGGAGTAAGATGGACTCAGTGGAATTTCTCTCAATGACCAGTAATATTGAACATTTTTTTCATATATTTATTTGCCGTTTCTACTTCTTCATCTAAGAAGTGTCTATTCATTTCAGATGCCCATTTTTTAATACAATCTTTTAAGTTTGGGTGTCTGACTTTTGGTGTGCATATATTGCTGAAGCATGTTTTTAGTTCTTTCTGGAAGACACCAAGAAGGGGGAGAGCTGGGCCAAATGAAATCTCTAATCTTAGTTTTTTGAGAAACCCCCACAATGATTTCCACAGTGGCTGTACTAGTCTATACTCCCACGAACAGTAGAAAAGGATTCCTTTTTCTCCACAGCCTTTCCTAATCTGAAAATCAGAAGCCTGGAACTTTTTTGAGCACATACTGGTTCTTTACCACACTTTAGAACATTTTAAGTTTTGGGTTTTTGGATTAGGGTTGCGAAGAAGTTTTCATTAAATGAATAATTACCGAGAATCAATTGATAATTAAACTGAGGAAATAATGAGTTTATAATTTAACGGCAGCTGTCTAAATTTTAGTATATAAATTTTCACTTTCCAGCCAAAGTGCTGCTTAATGAAGACCTTTTACCCTGACAAAACCTCAGACAGATCTACATACTTTTGGATATTTACAGAAATAATTTGAAAGAATCAGCACAAAGAAGACAAAGAAATTATACATTTTGTAATTACTCTCAGAGGCATTAAGTTTTATAGACAGATATTCTTGTAAACAAGCTGTTAAAGACCATGAAAACAAGAATGCAAAAATCATTTATGCATAGTTCACAAATTCGCACTCACAGAATAAATTTAAAAACAAAAGCCTTGGTGGAGCTTCCGACAAGTAGGCGGGCACATGCCATCCCTGGAGCCCAGCCTATTTGGGACTCCTGCACCTCACCATCGGTGTGCAGAGGAGGGGCTGGGCGGATCTGGGGCGCCTGCATCAGCCTCAGTGTCTGGAGGACTGTGGATGTCTCAGCAAGCAGGGGAGCATCGCAGGTTCTGAAGGCCCCGCGGCCTGTGGTAAGTGCTCCCACTCTGCCCAAAGCCCAGACTGTTCCGGATCCTCCAGGCTTCCGGGTGCAGGGAAGTGGATAAGTAGGTTTGAGGCATTCTACATCCGCCTCCCCATCCTGGCTGCACTTGGAGAACTGTGGAGCTTCTGACAAGTAGGCAGGCGCACACTATACCCAGAACCCAGCCTATTTGGGACTCCTGCACCTCACCATCAGTGTGCAGAGGAAGGGCTGGGCGGATCTGGGGTGCCTGCATCCGCCTCCCCGTGTGTCTGGAGGACTGTGGATATCTCAGCAAGCAGGGGAGCATCGCAGTTTCCAGAGGCCCTGCGGCCTGTGGTAAGAGCTCAGTGCACTCTGCCCAAAGCCCAGACTGTTTGGGACCCTCCAGGCTTCCGGGTGCAGTGAAGTGGATAAGTGGGTTTGGGGCATCTACATCCGCCTCCCCATCCCGGCTGCACTTGGAGAACTCCGGAGCTTCCAACAAGCAGGTAGGCGCACAGTGTCCCTGAAGCCCAGCTTATCTGGAACTACGCAGTTCTAAACAGGCAGAAGAGGGCCATTGGTTCTACAGGCCCAGTGGTTTGGGGTAACGGGGTGCCAGAGTCTCAGGAGCTGTGAACATAAAAAGGGATTTCCAACAGACCCTGAGGAAGCTTTCAAATAACACTTGAAACACAGAAATATAGGAAAATGACAAAACGAAAGACCAAATTACAACCTCAAACCTCCAGCCCATCTCAAGAAACCCTAGGCGCAATGTATATAGAAGAAAATATACGCCATTCACCTCAAATATCAGACACAATAGCTACTGAAATTAACAAGCAACTCCAGGAAGCTTTAAAGGAATTCAAACTCGAAATAATCTCCCAGGTAAAAGAAGAAATGATAAAAGAAATGAAAGAGATTCTGAATATATCTAAAGAAAACACAGTTAAAAAATTGGAGGAACTAAACAAAAAGATAGAATCCCTAGACAAGCAATATAAGAAACAAACAGAATACATAATGCAGATGCACAGAGATATACGGGAAATAAAAAACTCCACTGAAAGTTGCAAAAACAGCCTCAATGAAAGTAAAGATAAAATTTCAGACCTTGAATACAGGATTTGCAGCTAGTGAATAGGAAAGGAAAGATCTTTTAAAAATAACAAGGAATCAGGAAACAACAATTCAACAACTGCAAGACGATGCAAAGAAAAATAACATAAGATTGATAGGGATTAATGAAAAAGAAGGAGACAACATAAAGGATGTCAAGAGGATATTTAGAGAATAGCTGAAAATTTCCCAAGCATGAGATCAGAAACCGACATCAGGATCAGTGAAGCATATAGAACTCCAAATAGTCATAACCAAAATAAAACTACACCCAGACATATAATAATCACCATCCCAGAAATCCAACACAAGAATAGATTATTAAAAGCTGTCAGAGAGAAAAGACAGATCACTTATAAAGGAAAACCTATCAGAATCACAGCAGACTTCTCAGCACAAACAATAAAGTCTAGAAGAGCATGGAGTGAAGTATTCCAGATTCTAAAGAAAAATGATTTCCAACCTAGACTGATGTATCCTGAAAAACTATCATTCAAAATTGATGGTGAAATACGATACTTCCATGACAAAGAACAGCTGAAGAACTTCAACACCAAACCAACCCTGCAAAAAATATTGAAAGACAGTTTAGATACACAAAGGAAAAAACCACTAAGCAAAACAGATAATTAAACAGAACAGGAAGATAAAGATGCAACAGCAGAGAGATAACATGTCAACAATAAACCAGCATTTAACAGTAATAACCATTAATGTAAATGGTCTCAATGCACCAATGAAAAGAAACAGATTAGGAGAATGGATCAAGAAACAAAACCCAACCATATGCTGTTTACAGGAAACCCATCTAACCCAGAAGGATACTCACAGACTGAAAGTCAAAGAATGGAAAACAATACTTCATGCAGCAGGAATCCAAAAAAAAGCAGGAGTAGCCATTCTGTTTGCAGACAACGTGAACTTTAAACCAACAATGACCATAAAGGACAAAGAAGGTCACTACGTACTCATTAGGGGAAAACTCCAAGAGGAAGAGATAACTATTTATGCACCAAATATATATGCACCAAACTCCAGAGCACCCAGTTATATAAAACAACTATTAACAGAAATGAAAACTCAAATTATCAGTAACACAATTGTAACAGGAGACCTTAATACGCCATTGACACCAAGGGACAGATCAACCAGACAGAAAATGAGCAAAGAACTAACAGAACTGAATCACACCTGCGAACAAATGGATTTGACAGACATATACAGAATGTTCCACCCAACAACATCAGAATACACATTCTTCTCGGCAGTACATGGATCATTCTCTAAAATAGACCATATATTAGCTCACA